GGATGAGAGCCGAAAGCTAACCTGGAAGACTGAGAGTCTTCATAGACATGTAGTAGTAGAATATTTTTTAACCTAAAACCCCTCTGTCCACACAGATTCTTCATTTTGTTCATGGCGAACGGCATAAATTTGTAGAAGTGCAGATCATCGATGATGCTATTCCAGAGGGAGCTGAGAGATTCCAGCTCATCCTGTCTGAGCCTTCCCCTGGACTGGAGCTGGGCACCAATACCACAGGTAGATACAAGGGCAGAAGAGAATACAATAGAATAATCATAATATTCAGTTAAAATGTTCAAAACAAAATTTGCAATTCATGGTGAAGACATGGTAGAGATTTGGATTAATAGGGTTAGGAGTTAAATAAAATAACAACAAAAAGAGGTGAAAGAGGTCTTTTACCGTGGCAATAAAAAATACTTGTTTCTGATTGGCCAGGAGGTTTTAAAGGATTTGTAGGAATTTAAAATTCTTGTACCTCAAACATTGTTCCAGTGAGCACTTGTTGCTATCTAGGATATTATTTTCCTAAACTACATAATTTTCTTGCAGCAACCGTTAATATCCTGGCCAGTGACGATGGACATGGTGTCATATCCTTTAACACCAGCAAGCATTTCTTATTGAGGGAGCCCACATCTGTGTCGAGGCTGAGTGAGAGTGTGGCCAAGCTGTACGTGGTTCGAAACCCTGAGAAAGGCACATTTGGCACCGTAACTGTTCAGTTTACCATCAATGATTCCAACGGCAGTCTAGCAGAGGGCGATTTGATGCCAGCGCAAGGGTTTGTGGTACTGGAGGATGGAGTCAGATTTAAGGTGAGGGGAAGTTTTTATTGGCTAACAGCATTCAAACACATACATGAATAGGTCAGTTTTCTTTTCTTTTGCTCTCAAAGCTTAAAAATGGTAGTCAAAGTGTTTTGTGTGTGAAACAGCATATACATTTTTTTTGATTTATCAGAAGGTCTTCGGTCTGATCTGTGTTGTTTCAGATGCTGGAGATCTGGGCAGTACGGGATGCTGAGCCTGAAGTGAATGAAACCTTCACAGCGACCCTGTCCAACCCAACAGGAGGTGCACGGCTGGGAGACCAACTCCAAACTCTCATCACTGTCCTGGAGAACTTGGCTCCTTCTGGCTTGTTCCGCATCGGACCTACTATCAACAGGTCTCAATACAATTGGACCAGAAGGATCTAAAACTTTGAATATCATAAACACGTGCAGTATATAATGTTATACATGTTATACAAGTGTAACTGTGAAAATTAATGCACACAACCATACTTATGCAAATATGTGCATGCAATCATGTTTATGTAATCTTATTTAATGTGTGTTTTTTGTATAGAACTAGCACAAAAGTGGTTGCTAGTGAAGGTGGCAGAGCAGTCTTCCTCACCGTGTCTCGCAGTAATGGTCTGGAGTCAGCTGTCAGTGTGGAATGGGAGACACAGTCTGACACAGCTTTTGCCTCTGGTAAGACCAACAAATGTAACACTCGTAAATCCCCCTTGTTTCCTCTGTTGTTCCTTTAATCCCTCTTTCCGTCCCTCTTTTACTTTTTTCTTCTAGAGGGTCACCTCTTGGTAATTGGCGTGTACCAGAGCTTTAAGAGCAACCCCACCTCTGCTTGGTGCTCCCTTCCCAAAGGGCCTTCTTTCCTGGCTATGAGGCTGGATAGGATACCAATTGTTGGATCCTCCCACACCTTGGCCACTCTTTATCAGTGGCAGGGTGTTTTTGTGCCAGTACAGGTAGGCTTACAACAGCAAACGACGTCCCCACTGTAAAAGAATTCAGTAAAATCCAGTAATAATTGGCAATGAGTCCCAACAATGAGCTAATTTATAGAAAATTACACTGCTAGCATAACAGTCTTTCTGTCTTTTGGTCCTTACAGTCTGTTAGGATTCAGGACCCAAGCTCTTGTGTTGGGTTTGCAGTGAATGGTTCTACCTACATAGGCATCACACATAGTGGCCCACCCTTCTACCCTGCTGCCAACCTCAGCATCTTCAAATTGCAGAAGGACCTCAATATCACATTGGTAAGTAGAAACACAATCATGGCACAATGTTACTGTCACGTTTTTGTACAATTACTGTAACACTGTGGCATTGCCTTGTATTATTTGAAGCAATCTGATTTCTTTAGGAACAAACCTTAGGTGTCGAAGCTCTGGACGTGAAACACTTCTCCATTGAAGGCAGAGATTATCTAATAGCATCAAGCCAGGTCACTGTTCCACTATTTGACAGATCTTTAAATATTTTCAGTTCTGTCAAGATCATTAAAGGAGGAATTTCAAGCCTTTATGACTAAATAAAGTTTTATGATGTTGTTTGTTTCATGCTACAGATTTTTCTTTGGACTGGGGGTTCCTTCATGCTCCTCCAGACTCTTGACTTCGAACAGGACATCCTCAGTGTAATTCCATTCACTCGTGCAGCTGTGCCCTTCCTGCTGGTGTGCATAGACAGACAGACTTTCAGCTGCCTCCTGCTTCAATGGACCAATGGAAGATTTCAGAATCCACAGCCTCTCCAGCTCACCGGCAGAGCCATTCAGGTGGAGACAATCAACACAAGAGCAGAGGACACTCTCCTGTTGGTTGTTATTGAAGGTGACCTGTCTTGTTTTGATGTCATTTGTGTTTTTTTGTTGGACTATAACTACTCAATTCTACTAAATTCAGATAGATAATTCAAAATATAACCAACAAATAAATGATCAAATACACTGAATTAAAAATCTGCTCAAATAAATTAAGTTAACTGAAATTATTTAAATTACAGAAAATTAAGTTCAGTAAACTCAAGTAATGTAAAGATTAATGCATCAATAATTAAAATCGAATAATATAATATACATTATTCTGAAATGGGCAAATCTTCATAATGAGTACTTTCACTTTTGGTACTTTAAGTATATTTTGATTCTAATACTTTTACTTGCACCAGAGATTTCTACACTGTGGTATTTCTACTTTTACTTAAGTGAAAGTTCGGGGTACTTCTTCAACCACTGACTAAGAGGATGGTTGTGTTTTTGCAATAATGAGTTGCTTTTTCTGTGGTCGTACTCTCAGTGTACTTTCTAGTGGATTTTGCAGCGGTTAGATGTTGGTTAGAATAGTACAAACAAATCATTGATACTTTAGAAGACACACAAACTGAAATTCACAATGTAGGCCAGATCATATATTTATACTACGCTGTGTATATTTTGATGAGACATATCCCCTCTGAGTCTGCAAAAGTGGTGAGTTTTCTTGGTTCAGACCTGTTGTGGGTTTACGAGAAAGGCCTCAGTGTGGAGCAGAGCAGAGCCACAGAGGGACTCAGAGGTTGTAATTTGTCAGTCTAGGGTGTGTCAGTCAGACCAGTCCTTACTTTACATAAACAGGCTATTCTAGCGTGAAAAAACCTTAATCTGTGTGTGTCTCCATGCATTCCTGTATCTTTCTCCAGGTCTCGCTCCATCCTGTGAGGTGTTACTGTGGAGATCAGGGCAGTCTTCACCACAGCTTTATCAGTCCATTCCTCACCCAGGCCTCACTTCTGTTCACCCCTTCACTGCTCCTTCTGGCATCAGTAAGCATAAATGTCATAAACTCCTTTGTTTGTAAAGCAAGGTTTTTTTGTTGGCTGTACTATTAGAATTAATTGACCAGACATCCAGATTAACTATTTTTCTTTTTCATAGTTTATGTCCTGCTAGCTGGAAGAAATAGCTCATCACTATACTCCTGGAGGTCTGATGTCAACCTGTTCACCATGATCCTGAGGGCTCCACCAGCCTTTAGTTTCCTTTCTCTCATGGTTCCGTCTCTCAACACCAGCAAGACCCTCTTGGCTTCTACTGAGGAGAATAGCTCCAGTGTTTATGAATTCACTTCTGTCTCCAATCAGTCTGATTTCATACCCAGGTACCCAGATTGTCACAGACAGGAAAGATTTTTCTCAGAAAAAGCTAATTCTGCTCAAGAAATAAGAAATAAGACACAATGGAAGTTAAATAACGGACATTGTGTTTTCTTTGTTTCTTCACATTCAGTTTTGGGGAGTTGCACTTTGCACCAGGTGACAGTGAGCTAGAGATAGCCGTGAATATCATAGATGATGACATACCTGAGGAGCAGGAGTACTTTCAGGTCAGTCTGAAGAATCCAAAGGGTGGGGCTGAGATTGGATTTGGTGGTCAGGTGACTGTCATTGTTCCAACCAACGATGATGCCCATGGAGTCATCGGCTTTGCTCAGGTAAGCAGATAAACACAGCTTGTGCATTTGACCGTCATGTAAAGCAGTCATCGTGTTACAGCCTTTGTACCTTAAGCTACTTAGATCATCAGAAGAATTTCAAATATACTTTTTAAACATTTCCACAAGCTATTGTAATATAGTAATATATTTTCATTTCCTCTCTGCAGAATTCTCTATCTTTGGAGGTAGATGAGTTGGAGCAAAATAATCCAGTTTCTCTCAGTGTGGAGAGGAGAAGAGGGACTTTTGGCAGACTGACTGTTCACTGGGCTGCCAGTGGCAGTCTGGCAGACATTTTCCCCACTTCAGGAGTGGTTAGTAAACCTTGCCCTCCTATCATAAATACAGTATGATCAATTTCTAATTATACTGACAAAATACTTCCCAAAATAAACAATGTCAAAATTATAAATAAACAAATTTGTTTTAAACCGTAGGTAACGTTTTCAGAGGGCCAGTCGTTGGCCATCATCTCCCTGACTGTGATAGCAGATGGTGTCCCAGAGCTGAGAGAGAGTGTCACTATCACCCTACGGGATGTTACCACTGTGGGGCTGCAGGACCTACAACAGGCTGCAGTTATTGACAAGCAGCGGGCACAAGCTCTACTCACCATCCTGCCAAATGGTTCTCCCTATGGGGTGATTGGATGGCATCTGGACTCCCAGTTTACACTAACACAAGAACCACAGAGTAAGAATTTCTGTAAGAAAAGAAATAAATAAATGAGTGATGATTTTTCAGTAAATGTGCGTTTGTACTGGATCATGGTGCAGAGGAGTCTCATTTACTCAAATTAGTTTACATTATTGCCAACATATTCAAAGATATCCATCAGTTTTGCTTTCTCTTTGTTCCAGTAACAGTTGCTGCAAATTTAGCTGGTTACTGAATAACAATCATTCATGTTTTTTGGATGAGGTCTTTTAAGGAACTATTATAGTAATCACACTTTGAGATTTACTGTAAAAGAGATCTGCAGCGATTTCCAGGATTTGAAGAAATTTAGGATTTGTCCTGATCTGTGTATTGGAGGCTGGCCTAAAATGTCAGAGAAGTCCACAATAGTAGAGTAGCATACCTAAATGCTGGACTTCAAGCAATATTTAACATAACCATGTGGGATTTTACTTTCAGGTTGTTATTGCCATCTTCCATGACATGATAGGTCATGGAAATATATATATATATATATATATATATATATCATTTGTTTATTTTTTTTTATTTGTTCTGTGTTTTAACATTTGCTTATGTAACCTCCCTTTTCTCCAAACCCGCAGGGGTTCCTGTCAATGTGACCCTCTCTATAGTGAGGGAGCAGGGCTCTTCAGGTGAGGTGGAAATCCATTACCAGACCAGGCCAGCCCTGTACCAACCCCCATCCAACCAGGCTACTGCAGGACAGGACTACACCCCCAAAGACAACACCATCATCATGTTAAATGGTGCTACTGTGGCCCTTGTCACTGTCACAATCCTGCCGGTAAGAAAGGACATTGAGAAATAGAGCAGTTTATTAAATGTTCTTGAGTACAGAAGAATATATTAGGAATAGGAATGTTTACATTGTACTAACATAACAGTTCATTAAACATGTAAAACCAAGTAGAAAGAGAAGAGTGCGAGCATGCATACTTAAAATGCATGTATCAATCAGTATAGATTTTTTTGCTTAATCTAAGCCAAAGTGTTAGTCTCACATCTCATCTCACACATCTTAAATCTTAGCACACATTTATGGGCCTGTGGTGACCATTTTTACCCCCAAGTAGCGCAATGTTGTATATATCTTGCAGAATTTAAGGTTACTGCTGTCTGAACGTTTAACAGCAGTTGGAATGATATACATTTAGTGACAAAGCTTATGAATGAAAGTATAAATGTGTCTGTTAGAGAGAGAGAGAGAGAGAGAGAGTACTTGTTCATGCACATGTATGTTTTTACATTATTGAGTGTATATGTACACATGTGCTTTCTAAGGATGACATCCCAGAGCTGGCAGAGAGTTTCCTGGTAAATATCACCAGTGTGGCACTAGTTACCCAGTCACTGGGAGCAGGGCAGCCCAGTGTGAAGAGGCCTGGTATGGAAGTAGCAGAGGTCACCATCCAGGAGAATGATGACCCTCGAGGGATTCTGTGGTTCAATGTTTCTGTGGTGAGCACAGTGTCATCTATACAACCATAACTTGGATATTGTGTTCTCTCGCTTGTAGTGTGTCTGTTTGTATTGTTTGTGTTTAAAATTGTAACATTGTTTATGCTGCTTTCTTGGCCAGGTCACTCTTGAAAAGGAGATTTTAATCTCAGTGAGACTTTTATATATATAAACATTATACATGATGTCTTAATGGTGATATTTATGGTGCAGTTTTGCAAACCTGTGGTGTGTATCTAGAGAGCTTAGTAGGGACACATCTAAAAGACTGAATGTAACTAATAGATATGTAATTACAAATAATATTTGATCCTGAGTAAACATTATTATTATTTTAATGATGTTGTCCAGGATATCACTGGAAGTGTGCTCGCACATGAGGTACCACCACCAGACAACATCCTCTATCTGTCAGTGGTGCGACTCGCTGGTACAACTGGAAGATTGGTCATCTACTGGGAGGCTCAGCCAATCACTGCTGATTTTAATGATTTCAGCCCCAGATCTGGGAACATAACCTTTCAAGATGGGCAGGTAAATGGATACATTTGAAATGAACCTGCTTTCACTATCGCATAAAGCCATAATGCAAGGCTGTCCACAGGTTATTGCATACAGCTTCCTTATTTTTAGAGAGAAACCACGATTGCCATCACCATCTTGGATGACGAACAAGTGGAGACTTTGGAGACCTTCAGAGTGAATTTACTGCGCGTGATAGGTGGTGCTCGACTGGGAGAAGTGACCTCTGTAACTATCAGCATTCCACCCAACGACTCACCTCTTGGACAATTTGGATTTCGGGAACGACAGGTGAGTCTACTTAAGGACACTTCCAGTAAATAAACATACTCTACTTTCATACCTTCCTATTCATCCACTGTAAAGAAAAATAAAGTATAAACACCATCTGAAATCTTTGATTCTCAACTTATCTATAACTACCTTTTCTACAGTGTAGGATTTAGTAATTTAATTTTCTCATCTTACTCAATTCCCTCTCAGGTTACTGTCAGTGAGCCAGCATTTGTGGATGATCCTGCTGCTGTGGCCACAATAGCAGTGCTGCGTAGTGCAGGAGGCAAGGGGGCAGTGACACTCAGGTGGCAGCTGGAAGACCAGGCCGCAAATGACCTTTCACCTTTCAATGGAACTCTTGTATTCACTGAGGTAAAGAACGAGGGGTCACCGTCCCACCACATATTGTTACGATATTATTTTTATTGAATTATTTTGTTACCCTCTAATAATTATTGAGAAATACTCACTCCATCTTCTGTCTTTATGTACGGTGCAGTGTGTTGCTTCATGCAAGTTTCTTCATCAAGTCTGCTATATTTTTCAAACTCTCCAGACTGAGTCTATGAAGACGTTTGTGATTAGAGCCTTTGCTGACACTGTACTGGAAGGGGATGAGTATTTCACTGTCCGGCTATTTCCTCTTGAGAGTGGTGCTATCATCGACCCCCTAAATGGTCAGTATTTATGATGATGGTCAGATGATTGAAGAAACTAATGGAATTTTCATGATTGTCTTCCATCAGTGCAATACTCATATCTATCTTCCCCATCCTTCATCATTACCCTGGTCTGTCACGTACTTCTCCAGGCATGGCCACCATCACTATCAGGGCAGACAAGGCTGCCCTGGGGATTATTGGAATAGCAGAGTCCTCCAGGAACATACTCATTGGAGAACCTCAGGGAGATTACAATGGTAGCGCCTTGGTCAGGTGAGATAAACATCAAACTGTATCACTAACCTGGGAAAACAAGTAAGAGCTTTATATTTCACTGCCTCTCTTTATTTATCAAGAATGTAAAGTGAAAATCCTTGTGTGTATTTGTGCGTTTCCCCCAGTCTTGTGCGAGGGCCAGGTGTGTTTGGAGAGGTCCAGGTATACTGGAATATCACTCCAGCTGTGGTTTCTGAGTTTGAAGCCATCTCTGGCACTGTGACTATGAGAGACAGACAGTCTGATGCCACCATTATTCTGAAGGTACTGACTAAAATAGATTGAGTAGTTCACTGAAATGTCAGTGCACTGCAGATATACATAGTACACATATTCAGACCAAAATGCATCGTAATAATGTCTTTCTGTGTGCTTACCATGATGCCAGGCACTGAATGATGAACTGCCTGAAGAGCGCCGTGAGTACCAGCTTACTCTGAACTCCGCCACCTCTGGTCTGGAAATCAGTCCCATCGCAAAGCATGCCAAGATTATTATGGCAGCCAGCGACAACCCCTATGGCCTGTTCTCATTCACCCAGCAGCAGATCAGCGTAACTGAGGAGGAGGGAATGGTGAGGTCAACAAAATGAGAATGATACATATGTAGTTCTGTGATATGGTGGAGTAGTAACCCACAGCTATATGTTTTCTCTCTTTACCACAGGTGAATGTGACAGTTAATCGCTCCTTAGGCAGTCTAGGCAGTGTGTGGGTGACCTATAGGACCTCAGGCAACACCGCAGTCAGTGGAGTGGACTTCACTCCAGCTTCAGGACGACTACTCTTCACCCCAGGCTTAACCTCACAGCAAGTCACACTGCATATCCAGGATGACGTTCTTCCCGAGGTGCCTGAGATGTTCTTCCTCAACATCACCGGAGTGGAGCTAGTTAATGTCAGGTAAAGTAACTTTATATGGTGGAGTAGATTAATAACTTTGTTGGTTTAAATAGTTATGATAATGTCAACAGATGGTGAGTGTAATTGTTTAAAAAGGTTGTTGTATGTTTACATTTTAAACAAGGAATTTGCTTTGGTATTTTGGTACATAATAAAAAATATAGTAGGTAGAAAATATAATAAAGATAAAGCAAGTACTGTAGGCCAATAATGAGATTGGATGGTTGTAGTCATTCACAAGATAGGCATTACAGAGCCTTAATTTAGTCAAAATACTGTGTTGACTGCTTTTTATATACAGTCTATGGTTGACTCTCAAAGATTTCTTGTCAGTGACTCTTCATTCTGTGTCTCCCTCTGGTGGTCAGTGCTGTGGACTACACAGTGAAGGAGTCAGGTCTCCAACTGGACCAGCCTCCAGCTGTAGGCAACATCTCTTCTCTTGCTGTGGTCATACTAAAGAATGACAATGCTGAGGGTATCCTGGAGTTCAGGCAGGACTATGTCAACATAACAGGTAAGAATCAAAACAAAGGCACTGTGATGATGTTTAAATCTTGTAAATGTTCAAGTAAGGCAAAAACACAAATAAACCTCTACTGTCAGACAAAATTTGATATTAAAATATTATTTGCTATATGTAAAATCCCTGTTCTCTTCTGGCTTTCTTTCTTTCAGTTGAGGAGGATGTGGGCACTTTGTTGATCCCAGTGGTGAGGAGAGTCGGCTCATATGGAACAGTTTCAGCTCAGTTTATTTCTAGAGGCCTGAGTGCAGCCCCTGACCTCGACTACATCCTGAATAATGGCTCAGTGATATTTGTCCATGGCCAGAATTCCAGCTACATCAATGTCACTATCATAGATGACCCAGACAGGTGAGATGAGAAATTAAAACTAATTTAAATAAATATCTAGCTTAATCCCGTAAATTGTACCGTATGTTTAGCTCGCACACATATTTTCTATGGATCTTATGTAGGAAGACATTAAGCACTGTAGAGAAGATAAATCATCAGGAGGTCAGCAGACAACACAATTCAGTAGCTCAGGACAAACATTAATTCAAGACTATAATGAGTGAAGATGTTATTTAATCCCAGTTTAATGCTGAAATTATCACCCCCAGCGAATATGCAGAGATGTTTGAGGTCCTGCTGGTTGGAGTTACTGGGGGAGCAGTTCTAGGCTCTCAACATGTTGCAAGGGTAACCATCGCCAAGAGTGACTCTCCAAGCGGGGTGGTGCGTTTCCTCAACGAAAGCCTAATCACTGTGGTCAACCCTAACTCCACCCTCATACTCAGTCTTGTTTTGAAGCGAGCAGGAGGCCTGGTGGGCAATGCAACGGTATGAGGAACAATATCTTAGATCAAATCAATAATCTTCAGTCGTCTCATTAATGGTTGTTTGCAGTTTACTCTCAGAAGTTTCTCTTCATGGACATTAACTAATTCAAACCGGTTTAACCTTCTGACAGGTTGCGTGGATCGTGCGTGGCCCTAACAGCAGAGAGGTCCTTCCTCCATTTAATACAGACATTAGAGAGCCTGTGAACGGGACCTTCTTCTTCAGGGATGGAGAGAACAATACACGAACCATAGAGCTGCGGATTCTTCCCCACGGGGAAGTGGAGGTGGAAGAGACATTTGTTGTAGAGCTCAGCATTCTGTCTGGAGAGGTGGATGTTGATCCTCGGGCTGGCTCCATAACACTGAAGGTACTTAATTTTGTCACGCCTGCACGTTTGATTTCACCATCAGTAAGGTTGTTCAACAAGGATTATTACAATTTGATTACTAAAGGGCTTTTTACTGAAGGAAATCTAATGAGATGCAACCTTCATTACCCTGCTTACCCATACTCTAATGTGTTGTCTCCCAGATAGAAAAGTTTGGTGACCCAAATGGTATAGTCCAGTTTACTGAGGAAGCTCTTCGAGAGCGTGTCTACAATGAATCCACAGAAGCAGAGGGCCCATTCAACATTTCGCTGTTAATTACACGCAGAGAGGGTGTCATCGGTAACATAACGGTAAGATTACATCAGTATACATTTATTATCTATTAATGATGTCCAGTTACTGTGCTTAAACTAGCTGATATCAATAAACTCTTTATGGCCACTGTTAAAGTGTTAACACAGTAATACGTTTTTTTCACACCTCAGGTGCACTGGCAGATACAGAGTGACTCAGACATAGCAGGTGACTTCCTTGCCTTTGCTGGCTCAGTGATGATCCTAGAAGGCCAAAGGGAGGCAGAAATTGTCCTCAGTCTGATGCCCGATACAGTGCCAGAGCTGGAGGAGCTCTACACTGTCCAGCTCACATCTGTAGAGGGCGGTGCTACTCTGAATGCCAACCCAAACCTCATCAGAACACGCATCAGGTCATGATAGTTCTGTTAAACCCAATAACATAGACCGACTTCCAGGTAAAAAGCCTTGACAGATTGAATTAACTTGAAATGTATCTTTCTCCCTCTCCTTAGGGTGCGTGCTAACGATGAACCCCATGGTATCTTTTCCCTCAACCCTGAGCAACAGTCTATAGTGGTAGTGGGGTCAGGGTCTAATGTCACCAGAGCTCTGGTTATGAATGTGACACGGCTTGCCGGGCTGTTTGGCAACGCTAGTGTGGGCTACAGGATCAGTGGAGGGATGGTGATAAATATTAAGGAGATACTGGGAGGACAAGCTGAAGGAAGCCTGTTCTTCAGAGAGGGACAGACCTTCAGTTCTGTCACTGTGCCCATCAGCAGCCAGGTACAGATGAGCATTCTTGTGCAGAGACATGCGTTCAGCAAATTAAGACTTAGAAATTCTGTGAATGATGTAAAGGTTTATGTTGTTTTTAGGCATCTGTATAACACTTTTGTTTTCATGCTTTTCTCTCTGTAGGTGTTTTTGTCAGTGGGTGAGAGCTTCACAGCAGAACTGACTGATGTCAGACTAGTCAGTCCTATCCTCGGCTCTCCACCTCGCCTCCTTCGCGAAGCCAGCGTTGCTACGGTGACTGTGCCCGAAAAAGCTGCCAGCTCAGAGGCAAGTTGTGGTTGTGGGTTTTTTTGTTTGTTGATATATGATTTATCTGTTTTTTAATTGCCCCCTCTGCAGGGCACTTGGGATAGACTTGCTACTGTTCAGTGCTCCTATTATTGATTGAGTGACATGCTCAAGGATGTTTTATTAGGGTGTATGTTTCTTATGGTGATATACTCACTTTGTCACTTTGCAGTTTTTTTGTTTAGGAAGAATTCAATTATTTGAACATTACCTTCCTACATGAACAACATGGATAATATATTCATGAATATGATGCGTATAGCAATTTAGACATGTACTGACAGACAGTTAATCAATACCCGTCAGTTTATTCAATTATTTCTCAGCTACCAGAGGACAAACTTGGGTGTACTTTACCATATTCCTCTGATATCTCTCTCCACAGACTTTAATATAATTTGAAACCTATATTAAGCCATTATAACTGAGTTAGTGCTGAGGCCTTGACTGCTCTGTGAACACTCACCTGTTTCTTCTTGAGCCTTTTGAATGTTCCATGTAACACACTAGTGCTAATGCATTTGGCTGGCATTGAGTACAGAATATTCTGTATATATGTATATTTTTAAACCAAACTTAGGTCAGTAATGTAAAGTACTACATAATTACATTTATAAGAAACTATTTTTTTTTACTGGTTTACTGGTTAAGGTTGCACCAAGAGGACAGCATTATTAACTGTCTTTCTTATATATGTTGTGCAGGTTGGCTTTGCCTCCCTGTCTCTGCAGGTTTCAAGTATAGAAACAGGAAAATGTGAAGCAAAAGTCACACGAACGGGGCTGTTTGGGGACATCAGGGTGCAGTGGAATACTGGGTATCCTTCAGGACAGGCTCCGCCTGGCCTCAGACTGGGAGCTATCACCCCAAGCTCAGGTAAAAGACTCAGAGAGGGAATGATCTCTGACTGATAGCAGTGCAGACTCACATGTTACCTCAAACGACTTGCATTATTACTTTCAAATGATTTAAAGTTAAGTAACATTTGAACAATGAATAATTTAATTCGTAATGTGTCCCTATTTAAAATGTATAGTAGTGTATGCCCTTCTGTTTGGTTAACCATGTTAACCATTAGTTATACCTGGACGGCAGTGAAGCAATCTGAGCTTTCATCTCTGATAGGATGAACTATTCTCAATGAATATGATTAGTTCTTTCTGGGGACCAAGCACTTGCAATCTGGTGTTCAGGCTGATACCAAACACCAACATGGACTACTGACAGCCTGCATTCTTAATTGTTGGTAATGTGCTCCTTTCTTCATATTCAGGCTCTTTGACCCTGGCCCATGGAGAGAGACTAAAAGCATATCTCTGACAGCTGTTGCTGATGCATCTGAGATGGCTGCCTATGCTTTACACATCACTGCTGCCACCTCCATCACTTCTGCAGCCAGCACTATCAAACTCCGGTAATGGTTTCACAGTGGTTCACAGTTGTGATAGAGCTGTATATATTCAATGATTTCCTGAATCGTGATTACAATTGACAATTTTTGTGTCAAATGTAGCCTCACTCTGATGTCTGTCTCTCACAGGTCAGGATATACTGTGGCAGAAGTGGAGCCACTGGGAATCTACCAGTTTGCCCCAAATTCCCGCCAGCTGGTCATTGCAGAGGACATCCAGACCATAACACTGTATGTTCAGAGACTCTACGGTTCTCGTAGCAACAGCACTCACCTGTCCTATAAAACAGTAGCAGGCAGCGCAGCAGCAGGAGAGGATTTCATTGCGGTGCCAGACGGCCGTTTGGTCTTTGACTCCCCCCGCCAAACCAACGCTTCCTTCCGCCTTTCAATACTTGATGACTCCCTTTCGGAGGCTGATGAGTACTTTCACGTCAACCTCACAGATGTTCAAGTCCTTACTCCACACTTAGCGTGGGCAGATACCTCTCCTCGCATCAACCCTCAGCACAGTTTGGCCACCGTCACCATCTTGGCTAGTGATGTGACTGGAGGAGTGCTGAGTATTGGACCTGGACTGGTCCAGATACCAGAGGACAGGGATGAGGAGACCCAGCAGGAGCGAAAGGTGGTCCTGAGGGTGCGCAGGTCCAACAGTGTGGCTGGGGCTGTGAGGGTTCGGGTCCAAGCATATAGTGGTGTGTGTCTGTTTTGTTCCACTGCTTTATTGCTCTGTTGCAATATATGATATTGTTATTTACTGTGATGTTTATGCTTTAAGTTGTGTTGCTGTGCACTTTTATCCAGATGGAAGTACAGCAGCTTTTCCCTTTATTCTGGAACCTGTCGGGACCCTCGCAAAGGAGGAACAGGACTTTCGCCTGATGTCCACTATAGTGTCCCTTGAGGCTGGTCAGAATGAGACAGAGGTTATCCTCTTCATCCTGGATGACTCAGAGCCCGAAGGACAGGAAGTTTTCTTTGTTTACCTCAGTGATCCAGAGGGAGGAGCGCAAATCACAGACAGTCCATACCAGGGCTTTGGAGCATTTGCCAAGATCACTATCCTTGGTAAAATAATGAACAAATGATCTTTGTTTGAGTAAACTATAGATTGAAGATTTTTTTTTATTATTACTGTTTTGAGCGCAGTGTGTTCTAAAATTATATATATATATATATATATATATATATATATATATATATATATATTTTTTTTTTTTTTTTTTTTTTTTTTTTTATTGCTACGCTATCTCAATGAGTGATCCAGTGTTCTTGGCCAGTTTCACTTGATTTGCATTAGGTCACTGTTATATTAGTCTCCAGCTGCTATTTTTGGCCTCACATAATCACTGTAATGGGCAGATTATTTGATTAGTCTGCATGTATGATTGGTTGCAAAATAAATCATCATAGGATTATGAGGTTGTGAGGAAATTAATTAGCACTCTCTGTTTCTGGTTTATCCTTCCCTCTGGCCATACCAGGGAGCGACTTCCATAACGGGATTGTAGGGTTTAGTCTTAATTCTCTGATGGGCCAAGTTCTGGACGAGGACTCAGAGAACAGAACTGCGTCCCTCTATCTGCAGAGACAGGAAAACAGGTAATAAAACAACACTTGATTTTAAAAACTGATCCTAACAAGTAAACTTAATGACAGACTGTGCCCTAGAAATAGTTCCATATTTGACTGCCACCTAGATGTTTTATTGTTTGTAGTTATTTAGTCTGCTCTTTCATCCTCTGTTTAGAGCATTTGAAGATTTGCAGGTCTTCTGGAGAGTTACCTTCAGCAAGGCAAGTCTAACTCTTGTTAACAATGGAGTCGACCTAACCAGACAGCTGGTGCGGACCTCAGGAACTGCACTTTGTAGGAGAGGAGAGATAATCTGTGCTCTTACTGTGGAGGTCCAGGATGATGAGGTGAGAGAGAGGCGGAGATGAAAAAACTGGTGAAAGCAGTGCTACGGCATGTTGGTATCTTGCTGACCTTGAAATCTTTCAAATTCTACAGTATAAAGATAGATTACAAATTTAGTAGAATAATGATTTTCTTTATAGGTGCATTCCTAATAAGTCACTCATCTGTTTTACCGTAGGAACCAGAGGACCAGGCATGGTTCTTGGTGGAGATTTATCAGGTGGGTGCCGGGGCTACCATTAATGAGACCACCCGTTTTGCCAACATCACCTTGGCAGAGAGCGACGATCCACAAGGCGTCGTGTACTTCGCTGTTGGCCATAGACTGCCCATCGCCACCCCTCTGACCACAAGGCTCAGTCTCCAGGTCTACAGACAAGGAAGCACAGCTTCAGTCATGTCCATACAATATCGCACACTGGTGGGTGACAAACAGATAAGTAATGAAGCACAAGCATACATAATAAATGGCGCACATGCATACATATGAATACAAGTGGACACACATATGCACAAATGCACACAAACATGCACTGTGCAAATGCTTGAAATAAAATTTTTAATTGGTTCAATTTATGTTTAACACTGCTATTTGTTTGCTTATTTATCGGGATTACTTTTTGTTCATTCTGCTTTGCCTTGGAAGTGTTATTCTTGGTAGTAGGAAATCTCATTTTCAGTCTTGGCCAATAAAATTCCAATGACTTACTAGCTGAAATAGGGTTTTTCCCTAATCACTAAAAGTGGAATATCTGAATGATGTTTAAATATCTTTCTGTGTCTGACCTGGGTTTGTTGACCTGATTTTCCATGAGTTTCAGCAGACACAAATCTAATGGTATACTGATCTGATATGTCTCTTTTGTAAAACTGTCATTATTTAAGCCAGTTAGAAAAACATGATTATGTCATGCTCTGCGTGCTACAGCTGAGCACCAATGTTGTCACGCCTGCACAATTCTTGCGTTTTTTTTCATTATAAAACAATTTTGCAAAATTAGTAGCATGGTGAGGAGCTTTTCATATTTACTAGTTTTTTTAAATGGTGAGCCATAAAATAATTGCTTTTAGTAGTTATTTTTCTTTTCTTGTGATGGTAGTAGTCCCAGTCTGCCCTTCAACCAGTTCTACTATTTATGTAGATATATTAATAATGGCCATGGTTTATTGATGATGACCAATGTTTCCTCGTCCTTTAATCTCATTACCAACCTCTTTTAGGATTAGAAATATCTTGGCTACGTGCAGTTCACAGGCATAAAGTATTCACTGGCACTCACACTTTTTGATATTAGAGATCAAAGTCAGAGAGCGTCAAGTGCACTCAGCAAAAATCAAAAACCTCACTGAGACACATGGCAAGGTCATCTGCTTTCATCTCTCAGAACTAAAGCATGTTGCGAAACAGAAGGTTTGATGCATAATAAAAGCCCAGTCCTCATTTGGTTTAAATTACGCTTTCACAACATGGTCAGCTTCACTCATCTATCTACATATGCTGTTATTGGAATGCAGACCATGTGGACACTGTTTACCGAATGAGAATTGTGCCTTTATTAGTATAGACTAGTCTGATGTACAGTTCTTTTTGTTCACTTTTTTCTGGTCGCCCATATTTGTCAATGTTGTTACATTTTGTGGGTATATTACAGTATCTTTTGATCGTGTACATTTATTTTTCCTATAGGAACTCCTCAGAGACGAGGTGGTGGGTCCCTCTATAATCCGGCCTGCTAAAGAAGGAATGGACTTTCCTAAACAGGAGGGTAGGCTAACCTTCGATGTGGGCCACCATAACACATCACTGGAAATTTACCTCACACCTGACCTTGCCTCATCATTGCCCACACCAAAGCGCTTTCAGGTGGAGCTCTACAATGCTACAGGGGGAACCAGAGTGCACCCTCAGTTTGGGCTGGCTAATGTGACTCTGGTGTCAAATGCAGCAAGTGAATCTGTGTGGGTCTTACTGGACCAATTACATCAGCCTCTTGACCCAACTATATTGAACCAGGTGCTACAAGGATTGATCGATAAGGTCACTACACCTGTAACTCGTGAGCAGATGGCCGCCGTACACGAAGCTCTGGGGAAGGTAAGAGGGTGTGTGGACAAAAGCATTACCTGTAAACTAAAACCTTATTAAAATGCCAATTGTATGCATTTTGATTGTAACTGCAGGAAGAGATAAAACAGTAAAGTACTGTAAATTGATGTAGTACTTAACTGTTCTTTCTGCTCCTTACCAATATCAGTTATAAAACTAGATTTCATGTAGGATTTTTGAATATTGGAGAGTTTGTTAAAGCATGAAAGTTTTTCAAGTAAACTTGCTAATAATTAGTAAGTCATTTTATCCAAATGGTCATCATATACTGTCCATATCATATTTGGTCGAAAAAAATGCCAGCCCATTGTGCAAATTGATTTATTTTTAAATGTAATAATGACTACTTGAAGCTTAGCTCAGTGTCAGAGTGTAACAGACCTTCCCTTAAGGCCATATATCACTGCAACTTCACCACTCTGACAGATCCGAGGACCAGTTTGACATCTGAAAAGGTCTCAGTTGTCACTCTATTTGATTTTAGAGTCTAGATGTTGCGCTTGCTCAGTCTCCAGACAAGCGGAGGCACTGCTGTAATTTAATATGAAAGAGTGCGCTGGGGGCAGAAGAGAGAGCAGAGACAGCAGAAATGAGGTACACAGCATGAGGAAACGTGGGAGCACAAGAGCAGGAGAAGGGAAGGCATTAATTCACTATGAAAGCTGCATAACACTGAGGCCTAAACCAAAGAAAGTGACAAATCAGGAATACATTATATCAGAGGGATAATACTCGCAAACAATAGTAGAGCAAACTGTTAATCAATGCATTGCTGCTAGACTGCAAATACAGAAATAACTGTAAATACAGAAAGAACTGTTCTCCATCCGTCTCTCTCTCTCTGTTCATCTCTATTTCCTCTGAGACAGGTGCTTGCAGAGGCAGAGAGGACCATTTCACAACAAAGTAGCCGCAATTTGACCTATGACCTGCTGTGTGCCTTGGCCAATCCCAGCAGAGTCGACACTCGAGGCCTCAGCCACCTTGCTGAGGTGGCAGAGCGATTTGCATTCTCCCTCCTCGCGCACAGTCAGTGTGAGATGTGAGTGTCCCCCCTCAAAACAGTGAAGAGTGGGAGGGAGATATGCCGCTTTAAAGTTTTATGATGTTGAATATGTTCTGGGAATTTACAGATAAACACAACCCGACCATACATGTTGCATCAAAACATTAAGGATTTTCCTTTTAATAGCAAGGTTTTCATGCTTGGTGTTACAAATGTTCTTCTTTGTGTGATTTCTCCAGAAGGGATACCATCCTGGAAACATGTCCGTATATGACCATCTCTGCCTTCCAGTGGTACCCCACACAGATCAATGGACACAAATTCAGGGGGCGTAACGCAGACTTCTTCCAGCTGCCAGATACGCTGCTGGCAGTACCAGCTGTTTCGACTGCTGCCTGTAGCAACCTCAGCCAGATTCAACTGACTGAGTTTAGAACTGAACACTGGTTTCTGACCAATGGTACAACCACTGCTCTCAATGGGAAGGTAGGGAATCACTAAGACGAATTTTGTGTTTAATGTGTTTGATTAAACAGCAGGTGGCAGTATTATTCTAGTATGTAACCTAACCATTCATTTTTTAGTTCATTCCACAACTAACCTCTCTTCTCTCTTTCTGCTTATATCTAGGTATTCTCAGCCAGCCTCCAGAACAGAGGTTCACGACCCCTAGAAGATGGCAATGAGGTGGTGTATCGTATCCACTCACCTGGTCACCAAGTTAAACCAGGCCGATCTCTGTGCCTTCTCTGGAACCAGACCACTGCAAGGTAATCCACACCTATTCAGATACATGCTCAGCTATTCTATTCATGATAATATGACCATGAAAGCTTCACTGTTACCTGTTAGTATCAGTGGCTAGTTATCTCAACTAGGTGGTTTATTGCCTCTCACCTGTGTCTGTCATCCTCACACTTATTGGGTGAGTGACTGTCCAGCCTGTCAGGCTCTCTGTGGCAATAGGGGAAGTCACTTCTTTCTGTTTAATATCTGCACATTCAGTCCACTGCACTCTCAGTCCTCCCACTCTGAGTCAGTTTGTTGAGGATATTCCTGGGACGTGGAATGGGACTTGGCTGGAACACGCTATTACAAGTTAGGAGTTGCTGGGCTTGGTTTGGCCGAAACACCTACTTGGACAATTTGTCCCAGGAAACAAAATGCATTAGAGAACTGAAATGGAGTGAGAGCAAAAGGTGGACAGAAACAAAATAATTGACAAAGGTCAACGGTGCAATGTGACTCTCCCTCCCTTCCTGTCTGTTAGTTGTGCAACCGAATCCAGATCAAACATGATTATAATGTTCTGGTTTGTCACGTACAGCATCTTTGATGAAAGGAAAAGGTGACAACAGATAATGCTCAAAGACGCCAAAACGCCAGAGAGCAAATTGAACGTACACATCAGGCTAATTGCCTTTTCTTGTTATCTGCCTCACCTGTATTTTGTATACTATGTTGTAACAGCTGTCTTCACTTGTCTGCCACTTTTCTTTCCTTGCCTTTTCCTGCATCCTCTCCTCTCTCCTCTAGCTGGTCAGCAGATGGTCGATACTGCAGGGTTGTGAAAGAGAGTGGGAACTATGTGGAATGTGCCTGTTCCCACTTGTCAATCTACACGGCCTACGCAGAGTTTGCCACTCTTGCATCCTACAACGAGGCCTTCTATGTCTCGGGATTTATCTGCATCTCAGGTACAAAACACGCTCTGTGTCTTCTCTTCTTCATATGCCACTTGTTTTCCTGTGTTTATTTGTGTTTGCCCAGCGCCTACTTGCTTTTCTCTCCAGCTTTCTCTCTGGTGTGTTCCTTTCTCAGAGTTTGATCCTCCATATTCCTCCCACATTGTTATAAATAGCCTCTGTTATATATAAATCATTTTTAATGTATCATTAATATTGGTTCCGTGTCTTCCACTTCCACCTCCTCAGGCTTTGCATTGGCCATTATGTCCCACGTGCTGTGCTCCCGTTTCCCTATGTTTGCTGCCAAACTGCTCACTCACATGATGATGAGCTGCCTTGGAACCCAGGTAATACAGCTTTGCTCAGATCCTGTGTAGTATTACACTGCTTTACTATAAAGGTCACAATGAGCACTAACACACAATGAGCAGCCTATGAATTCTTCATACTCCCACACCATCTTCAGTAGTTTCTTTGGCATTTCCATCTGTTCATATCTATAGATTATCCACATGGCCTTAAATGTAGATGGATTGGGAACCTTTGGAAATTATTATAGAGGCATTCATCTCTCTGTGCTATATGGATCAGTAGTTCACACACATTAACACAGCTGTAATGTGTGTAGTGCAACAAACATCTTCACTTTCATGACGTACAAATATTGACAAAATATTTTTTAAAACACTCATATATTTGCTCCTTTATATTTAAATATTTTAAACATCTACTGAGAGTGCACACACATTCACACACACACACACATATACCGTATGCTACCAAGCCTTCTTTCTAGCCACTAGACATGTCACAGGTATTTTCTTGGAAATGTGCATAGATGTGAACACACATCATCGAATGTCATTGGTTGCGTAGTTTGCGGGCCGGCGCGTCCTGACAACACAACCATGTCCCCCGCACTCTCAGCCATTAAAAACGCAAGCTGTCACATAAGCAATGAGCGAGATAGATACATGGCTGCAGGTTAGTCTCTCTGCTGGTCCCGACCATGCATGTGTTTATGTGTGCATGTGTGTGTGCGTGAGCGAGTGCGGGACTGGTAATTTTCCACTGGTCCCCCCCTCTCTTTGGTTGACAAACACGAGCCCCTACTAAAGCAGTCGTTGGGGGCTAACCACCTTGGGCTCGACCTGTTTATGGCCCAGGCAGAGCCCCTGAACCTAAAAGGGTTTTGGATGGAAAATTCCATCCTGTTCTGTTTCCTTGATGGTACTGTATACCATGTTATGGCCTTCTCCCTTGGATGCACCTGTGTCTCAGATTGTGCTATAGTTTATAAAATATATGGGTGTGTTTCTGTGGCGTCTTTGAATTCCAGACTGTCAAAGTGAAGGCCTAACTGAATGTGTACCCTGGTATTAAGATAAGAGCCCTCTGGTCATCTGGAAATGCTGGGAATATTTTGGAGGTAATGGTGGGCTCACAGTTTAGGATGTGCTGAACTAAAAAAGACCAACTGACATCATTGTCTCAACTTAACTATGCACTTTATCTTAGATCTGAGATGGCTAGCTAGAAACAGAATAAGCATAACTTTCTTTTTATGTAAATGCATGGGGGTGATCTTTTTGCTTATCCATCCTGTATTCCTATTGACAAACAGATAACCAGTAACCAGTAGATATCCAGTAACATTTAGCGAACAGAAAGTCGTGGGTGAGCATTTGTATAAAGGGCTTTTCATATTTCCACTTTGTTTATAAGTAATGCCGTCACACCAAAACTCATACACTGGTCAGTCTGCATTTTGTTTAATTGAAGCTAAGCTTCTACAATGGGTTTAGAGGCTTTAAGATAAGTATAGCGTCTTTGTGGAAAAGCTGCTGCTGTTTTGCCTACATGTTTTACTACAAGATCCTATTATTAAATAATGAAAACAAATAAAGTAAAAATTGTCCTTGGGCTTGGGACATAGAATATTCATTTTAACTGCATTTCATGTAAACAGCACTTGTTAAAAACATCCATGTAGAGATCAGGATCATTATGTCTAACTACAAAACCAAATCACCATTATGGTCTGTTGAAGTCTATATCTGTAAAGATTTATCTTAATCCACATCACTGTTAAACGGAAGCTTTACCTCTTGTACAGCACTAAATGGTCAATTTGGAATGAATCTCTGTTTTATATTTACAGTCAAAGGAAGTCAATAGAAGGCGAGTAGTTTTGCATTTCAGAAGGCCAAAGATCTTTGATAGAAATGGTAATTAGTGACAGACATGTCTCCTGAACTTGTGGGTTTCAGCCTTGCTCGTGCCTCACCATTGATTTGAACTGTCAGGTCCAGCACCAACCTCCTCAGACAGAAAGGGCCCTCCATCTGTGGTGGCTTGGCTCTGATTAGTCACTGGCGCTGCCCTCTGTGGGGAGAAAATTAAAGCTGCCGGTTTGATTTATTTCTCACTGCAAAAGCTACAGTCAACGAGAGAGAACAAGAAAAATACCACCACCCCTCTGTGAGAGTCTGAATTGAGAGCAGGTGGAAGAGATGGAGGTGGAGGCTTGGGTTCACTTTATGTAGTACTTTAATTGTCTGACCGTCTTAGTATTCTGAATACCATCCTTTTCATCATCAGTTAAAAATAAAATGCACTTAGTTCCATCGCCTGAAAAATTCAGAGACATTACATTAACATTAGCTCTATTTTCAAGGAACCACTGAAGAAAGGCCACACTAGTGAGAGGGAAATGTTCCATCTCATCATCGCTGTAGTTCCATCACAACCATTTCCCTAACTATTGATGTCATTGTGACTGACGTGTGACTTTTTACAGCTCAGTTAAAGGTTCAGAAGTTAACTTTTATAAGCATTGGCGGGGCGTCTGAGAAGACGAGTCGAAGTGAGAAGGACCAGGGCAAGGCTGTTGCTGTGGAGAGCCTTATGAGAGAAGAGGTTTCAAAGGGGTTTTGGTGGGCTGGTATCCGGACACCTGCAGGGCAATAAAGAGTGGCCACCGACAATGATATAGACATCAAACCTCCTACTGAGTGGTAATAATGATTTGTCTCATCCACCATCTCAAGGGAGAGTTCTCTCACTGTGAATGACTGTGGTTTTGTGTGTGTATGTATGTGTAGGTGTGTGCACATGTCTTTGTTACATCAGAGGTTGTGCAGGGCAGTCTCTGACTCTGGCCAGCAGTTTGTCTTACCCTCAGCAAGACAACCGAAGATTGTCTGTGTAGAGTGGAAATTTACCCAGTGCATATGTACTAAGCAAGTGAACCTCACCTGGTTGTATGTGTGCATGTGCATTAATGTGCATGGGATTTGCAGGGCTCATCACACGAGCAGCAATAAAGCCCAGTTATCTTGGGCAATCAGAGGTCTGGTATGGTGAGTATGTACAGTCTATGTATGTAAATTCAAATGTACATGCAAGTTATGTCATGGAAGAAATATTTTTAAACCTGAAAATTGTATATTCTTTCAAAGAGGATCTGTGTGATTGTGATCTGATTGTTACCCTCCCAATACAGATTTTCTTTTTACCACATGTGACATTTATCTTGTGTTTCTCGAACATTTTAACATTTTTCAAATGTTTTGAGTTATCTTGCTATCTAACTTAGAAAGTGAAGTTTATTGTGAACGGAACAAAAACTGAATCTGAGAATTTAATTTGTTAATTTGTTCTATGTGGTCCTAAGTGAAGTAAAACCACATTGTAAACTCTTAGATCAGTATTCATATGGTCTCCAGGGAACAGATCACTGACATCATAAGCCTTTTACCAAAACATAAATCAATCAATCAAGCAAGGTCACAAAAATTATGGTTTCATTTCTCTTTTTATTTACAACCCTTTCTCTCACCTTTTCTCATCGTTCAGCTCCTAGTTTCAGAAAAGGGAAAGGGTATTTGCCTTGGCCAAAGAGATTCCCAACAGAGAACGGTAAAATTTCAAACAGAAAATTACATGAGATACTTTTCAGTGAAAGGTGAAGAAGTGTCAACAGTGTTATGATTATAAGATGTAATTATATTGAAAGAATCACAGAATTCTTCATCTATTTTATATAGTAAATCATATAATATTTCAGCCTGGTCAAATACAGAATCAAATTTTGGCGATATGTGTGCTTGAACACGTATCCAGGTTCTGGTGTGAAAAAGGAAAATCTAATCTCCCACTCTATTGCAAACAAAACACAATTAAATTTATCATCCATTGTAATTTATCCACATCCCAGGCAGCCATTCCCACACACTCAGTGAAGTGTTTACCCCATTGGTCCCAGTGCTTTATTTCAGTATCTGGGAGGTGTTTAGGTGATTCTTATGAAGGATTTCCTGTTCGCTCTGGGACTGGATCCAGCATTCTAGAGCCTCCCGCCTCAATCCACAAACACACACACGCACATAAACACTCACTTCTATCTCCCCCATACACCACTCACCTCCCTCACTTGCTGTCTGATTGCTGCCGGAATTCCTAAAAGTTCCTGTTTGACGTCAGTATGTATGTGTACGTGGGTGGGTCGGGAGGGGATTTAGGTTTTAGACGAGCATGCATGCAGTTTCTCAGCCCTCCAGTAAAAGGGATGTAGGAATTACGTAATCCAAGCCCTTAACGCGTCCTTGACGGCAGAACGGAAGATCAACACAAGTCTTTGTATATTGAGTGAGTGACT